CGGATGGACTCCAGGCCCTTAGCAGACTTCTTAAAGGTGAACTCCACAGCTTCTCCCTCCTTTAGGCTCCGGAAGCCCTCCATGTGCAGCTTACTCTGGGGAAAGGAAACCGGGCATATTTCATTAGTTCCACGATCAAACAAAATCATACTCTGTAGAGATAGGAAGAGCTGGTGGAGTACTATTTCTATTTTCACAAAGGAAATTGTGTCTTCATCACCATACCACATGGAATTCACATTATAGTCCAGAGGACAATGATGATTATAGGAACAAATGTCTTTGTTGGGGGTGGGGGGAGAGCTACATTTGTTTGGAGTGCTGAGTACAATGGGAAATGAGGAAAACTTCTAGACACAAGTATAAAATATCAACTAATATTAAATTGTAAAATACAAAAGCATTAAACAGAATGCTTTCAAATAAAGTACTTCATTTAGTTTTATATCTTCAACAGACCACAATCAGTTAAAGTTTATTGCACGGCATAGGTAGAATTGGAATTAACTCCAGGACATATACTTATTGATGGACTAAAGAATGTATTGATACCAAAGTTCCTTAGATTTCCAGATTTTTAATCCTGATGATATAAAATAAGGTTCTTATTCTTTGCAAATGCACACTGAACAATGTATGTAGGGACAAAGGCACTTATGTGTTTTTGGCACTTATGCATTTAACTTAGTTTATTTAAAATGTCGTACAGCAAAATAAGGCAAAGGACCATAATGTTACCACTTGAGAAGTCTGGAATCTGGGTAATAGTTATATGCAGAGTGATAAACTTAATAGTCATTAAGTGCTGCTGAGAAAACTTCATGATGCCACTTGGAAGTAAAGCCTGATTGCTATCCAACACTTCAGGGGATTCAGTTCTAAACCCTAAGAAAAACTGTCAAAAGACAGGTAGGTATCAGACTGGTGAAAACTAACATAATAATTCAGTAAGGAAAACAGTCACCGTAGAATAGCCTTATCATAAAACAGGCCAAGAACTTGAACAGACCTTTCACCAAAGAGAACACTCAAATGGCAGCCAAGCAAGGTTCTCAGCCAGAAATGCACACGGAACAACTCCGACCTTGTTCCACGGTACAAACACACAATAGCCTACTGCACAATCCTAAATGGCAGGGAACCCTTGACACATCTGACACCACAAAAATCTCTAGAGAATATTATGCGGATTTAAATCAGTCAATCCCAAAGGACAAATATTGTACAAGACCGTTATTCTGCATGATTAGCAAAGAGGAAAGTCACTAACTATATACTCAAAACCCACTGCCCTTGAGTGGATTCACTTCACGGAGACCCGGTAAATCTTTTTATTTTTAAACTCTTACTGATACCTCATTCAACACCCCAAACAATTAAATGACAGTTAAAATACATTGCTTACGGTACTACTACATACATAATCCTGTAATAACACTGGTCTGCTGGACAACACAGGAGAAAAATACAGAACATTCAAAAAATAAATATTTCAAAAAGACCAGGATGGTAACAGACATGACTGGAACCCCTTACATGGCCTTCAAACCTGGAACTGCACCCCCAACTCCTAGAAAATCACGTGTCAGCCAGGAAGGAAAAACTGGAACGTTTGAGAAAATGGAACCCTTCTTTGTCGGCAGAGGGAATTCGAAATAGTTCAGACAACTGGAAAACAGGATGGCAGTTCCTTAGGAGACGAAACTTAGCTTATGACTCAGCAATTCTACTGCCAGTCCTATACCCCAAAGACTTGAAAGTAGAGATGCAAAGAGACTTATACACCAATGTTCATCGCAGCACTGTTAACAGGAACCAAACGGTGGAAACAGGAGTGGACCAACAAAGTATGGTTGAAATGCTAAGCCACCAAAAGGAATGAAGTCTTGGGCACATTATAAGTCTCAGGAAAGAGCTAAAGACATCACACTGGCCAAAAGAAACTAATCAATCACAGGGACAATGACACGGCCACATGTAAATAACAAGATAAGAACATACAAATGTATGGAGACCCACATTTATTCATGGCTACCAGGGATGAGGGAGGGCAAATAGGAATTAATGGTGATGGGGAACTTGTATCGAGTAGGGTAGGGTTGCATAGCCAACTATCAATTAAGTTGTATACTCATAAAAAGTTGGAATAGCAAAAGCTGTGTGATAGATATATTTACCACAGTGACCCCCACTAAACGGAAGCTGCAGAAAATGCTTCATGGGGCTTGGCTCCTAGGTTTGAGGTCTTGGTTTAATGGGACATATAGGGCTTTGTTTCTACCTCATAAGGGGTGGGCAGGGGTGTGTGTGGACCAGGACAAAGCAAAATTTAAATCCACATGGACCCTAGATTTTCTGGAGCCACGGAGGGTGGATGAATCCCTGGATAATCTTTAACGCTTAAGCCAAAATATCCCCCCCTTAGGCCATGGTCCTTCAGCTTTGACCTCTTCCTTTCTGAAGCTCTCCACGTGGCTTGGCATCTCTCTTCCCCCAGCGCTGCGGGGCGGTCTTCTTTAGTGGTTTTTGTGTGTCAGAATAGGGATGGACTCAGGCCTGGGTGCCATAGTGGTGATTGTACATTGGCTTTCTATGCCAGGCAGAATCAGTCTCAGACCCCCACAGGAGACCTTCGACTCTGCCCGAGAGGGTCGTTGAGTAAGAATCGACAGGATGGAAGTGAGAGACGAAAACGGTAAAACAAGAAAAACCGAAAAAAACAAGGTTCCAAAAACAAAACGAACAACGGGGAACCAACCCCCGCCCGGGAGACAAGGCAGGAAGGGGCAGGCTAATGAGCACTAGTGTTCTATCCTGGGGATTTGGTTGAGGAGAGATTGATTGAACACGGATTTTAGGGGAAGCCATTGCCTATTTAACCAGATGAGAGTCTGGGTCATTTTCAGCTTTGTTTTCATTGCGATGGCACTGTGAAAGGCAAACTTCCTTTGAGGTAACTGGCAAAAATCACAGGCTGTGGAGCAAGACAAATCCTGGCTGAAGAAATGCTGGTTTCACAGAATTACTAGTCTCTGGGTGACACTGTGGCTTAGAATCAATCCGCCTATCAGAAAGGTACTTGCCTTGCACCCACCTAGAGAGGCAGGTCTGGTGATCGCTCTTAAAAATAAACTGATATGATCTATGTATTGTGATGAATTGTATGAGCCCCAATAAATTGATAAAAAAATTAAAAATTAAAAAAAATAAACTGATAATTGTCATTGGGTCAATTCTGTCTCATAGTGATCCAACAGGACAGCATAGAATTGCCCCTGTGGGTTTCTGAAGCTATAAATCTCTACAGGAACAAAATGCCTCATCTTTCTCCTAAGGAGGGACTGGTAGGTTTGAACTGCTGACTCTGTGGTTAGCAGCCAACCACACAACCCAGAAGCAACCAGAACACCATTCATCAGAACCGACTCAACGGCAACTAACTGCCCCCGGACGTGTAATAAAGATTAAGCAGACATGCAAAGGTCAAAGGCACGAACACGGGTGGCCACCAAGTGCTCTAACCCACCAGCCGTTCCTCAGGAGCAAGACCGCAGTCTGCTTCAGCAAATATTGACAGCCTCCTCAGCCCCGCTCTCAAACAGATGGACTCCGAGCCCGCATCAGCCCGATGGCAGTCATTGTTGTTTGTAAAGTGTTTACCAAATATTTCCTGTATTAACATTATAGTTGTGTGCCTGTCCCCAACACAGAATATTTCAAAGATCATGGGTCTTTTCACAGGACACGGGAGAGCGTGAGGGCTCCGCACCCCAACGTTTCCACTTTATTAAGAAACCCGGTAGAGCATTGAAACAACAGGAGGAAAAAACAGTCTGCGAGAAGGCGAAGGTAGTAACTTTCCTTCCCTGGTTGCACAATAACCTCCCTCAATTTACTGTCAGATTTGACTTGGCACTTCATGAACTGAACGGTAACTGGAGGTGTTAGAGCACTTCTTGACCCAGCTAATTTCAGGAGCATCTATTGCATTTGAAGCTGTAGATGGGTTCAACGATAAGTGGGTAAGAGCAGGCATCTAAGAGTCTGTTCCCTCTGCTTCCTATCTATATAACAGTAAATACTAACTTCCCGGTGTGCTGCGAGGTTTTTAATGCATGAAAAGCAGTAAACACATCCCCGGCACACATAAAACCAGCCAAGGAGCAATTACCATCTACCTCTTAGATCAAGAGAGGCTAACTGTGAGAACCAAGTGTCAAGAGACTGGAAATCCTAATTGGTTTTTTAACTAAGTTGAGGAAACTTAGAAAAAATACTTCTCTGAGTTCCAATTATTTACTCAAGGCAATACTTTCACCTGGATGAACTCAAAGACTTCGAAGGGAAAGGTTGGTGAGTGGTTTTAGACCCACCAGTGGCCCCTTGGAGCGGTTATTTGTGGGCTGCTATCCCCAAGGCCAGCAGGTCAAACCTACCAGCTGCTGCTCCGGAAAAAACCTATGCTTTCTACTCCAGTAAAGAGTCACAAGTTTGAAAACACAGGGGCAGTGCTATTCTGCCCTGTAGAGTCACGGTGAGTTGGAATTGATAGCAACAAGTTTGAGTTTGGGTTTTTTTTGTTTTTTTGTTTTGATTCCTGTAAAAATTAAATAAAGGAGTTGGGAAAGCTTCTATGGGGCAACTGTACTCTGCAGTAAGGGACCCCATAAGTCACACACCATTACCTTCCTCTATGTAGACTCTAAGCCCGGGACAAACATATAAATAAATGGGGGCTTACAACATGAAATCCACTAGTCCTCTCCAGATCACCCACTCCACTACTTGAGCAGGTTTTGGGCTTTACAAACCAAACCCTGCAGTGACTGGCCTGGGATTCAGCCTGGTGGTCTCCTGCATCCCCCCACCAGGCCCCTTTCTTTCCCAAACACATAGTTTGAATTCTTCTCTTATCAGCTAGGTAATCAGCCTGCAGCCCCACAGAGCTAACCTCCCAGGGCCAGCAACTGAAAGGCGCCTGAAATTCTTGCTGTCACCCCCACCCCCACCCCAGCCACACAAAGCAGGGGCCGGCCCCCCTGCCCATCCCCCTCCAAAAAGAAAAGGCCTGGGGGGAGGGGCCGGACCGTGCATC